GTAGTATCATTGTCTTTTAAATTGTTTGTTTGTATCCAATGTATAGCCATTACCAACTGATAAATGTCTGTTCTTTTAACCCATTTACTTAGCTTATAGGAGATGGATATTTTACTCATTATACTTCCCTGATATCTTTTACAGTTTAGTGCCATAGTTTAAGACCTAACATATGATTATTTGTAACAATAACTTATTTATTCTCCAATAATAGATGTTAAATGGTTTGGATTGCTTTAGTTTAATCGTTAAACAAGTGACTGAGGAATTATCTATTGAAAGCTACCATATAGTTTCAAAAAAATATTCAGGTTATAGGTATTAATCCCACCATACTAAAGGCCCAAGGCCTTGATCATTCATCGAGGCTTCAATGGTGATATCAACAAATCTAATGCTTTTGATTCTAAATCGCACATCCTGGCCATTTTTAAAAATCATTCTATTTCCCTTATAATTCCAAATCCAACAGCCCCCCAAACTCTCATTATCATACTCGCTATTTGGAAATAAATCTTCGGACTGTATTTCATATTTGGAATGCAAAGTGTTTTCTACAATTATACATGACTCATCTTGGGATAATATCTTTCCAGTACATATTTCATCATAAAAAAATCGATTAAATATCATTTGAAAATTTACCCTTGCCATCAAAAACTTTCCACTTATTTCATATTCGGAGATTTCGAGTATTTTGTATAGATAAATACCTAATCCAAGACTATCAGAGAACTTATTGATGTATTTGTTGTTAATTTGATCAATGACAGCCTGTGCCTTATCTCCTGAAGAAGACTTTATCTCAATCGAGTCCACAATCTCAGATACTACGAACATTATGGGAAAAAATTTTACAGAATTCTAAAATTATAGTTTTGCTCCAGTGAAATTAAAATAGATTTTTGGATGCAATTGACAACTCTATTTAATATAGAATAGATCTGATGTCTTAGATCATACATTTCAGATAGGAATTGTAATATGCCTATAGAGTATCAATCTATATTGCTTTGGCCGATAGTGTGCAATATTTTTTCATTGATAGTTTTTAAAAAATTTAAACAGATTCTGCCCAATGAAAAATATTAGAGGCCCAAAAAGTGCACTTTCTGATTTTATAGCAGAAAATAAAATACAGGCAAGAATGCCATCGAAGGAACTGAAGGAAAGTATTTCAAATGTTAAAATCAAAAAAGTCAAAAAGTCAAGAAAATCCAAGAATTCAAAAGTGAGTGAGTTTGTAAATATAGAAAAATATGACGAAGATGAGTCTGTAAAAGATTTTTTGGATAGAGTTGATACTTGTGGGAAAATTCATTCCGAACAACAAGTTGAAATAACGGATGAAATGCTTTTTAGTGTGGGTAGGTATTTGAGTAGAAACAGAATGATGAATCAGAAATATTTTGACTTTTTGGTAGAGAACTCTAGGAATGATCTGGCAATTTTTGATTGTTCCACTATCAAAAACTATTCCCGACTTTTTGGAAAGAAATTGAGAAAAATGGAATTGTATTATTGTGGGCAATTAGAAGAACCAACTCTTAATACAATCTTAAAGCTGAATGATTGCTTGAAGATTTTGAAGATCACAGGTGGATATTTATTGGAAGACATAGAAATTGGCGAAGGACTAGAAAGTATTGATTTGTCGGACTGCTCCAGATTGTGCGATAAATTTATTGAGCGAGTAAACAGAATGAAGTGCATAAGCACATTAAGCTTGTCTTCATGCTATAGACTGACAGAAAACATAGCATTAACTACCTTTGTCAAGAACTTATTTCTTTGTGAAACGAAAATTGATATTAGTTTTTTAGATCAATTGGTCAGAAAAGACAAAATAGAGACATTGAGCCTTAGAATGTGTGCAAATATTGAATTCAACCAAAGTAGATCTGACAAAGGGCATTGCATACTTACAAATTTCACATCCTTAAAATATCTTGATTTAGAGGGTATTTCCACCGTTATCCTACCTTTGCTACCGGATTCTATTCAGCATCTAAATATTGCATATTGCTATAATATCAGGCAAATCACCTATCCAAACTTAACATATTTGAATGTTTCATATATACCTTTGAAGGAACACGAAATCAAGTCTCTTTCCCAGAATAAAAAGCTTACTGAATTGAATATCTCATGGAACCATTTTTTGACAGATGAACTTTTCGAATTTTTAATCATCAATTTATCACTAGAAAAAATTATAGTTTTTGGATGTTTTTCATTGACAAAGAAATCGGCTAAAAAAGCTTGGCAGGTTTATAAGAATGTTAAAACCATTGGACATCCCTGTGAAACAGAATATTTGTTGGAATTTGGACCTTCTGTTTGATTCCTTAAGTAGAAATGAATTATTGTTACAATAGGAATGAATTTGTAATGATATTTCGATAATTTATATGAGATTTTATCTTCATCATCACTATATCAAATCATTCTTGCATGATAATGTAGCTTATATTATTATGAATATCGCATATTGAAGCTGTCTGTATTACCAATTCGTCTAGCTCTATGAGTTTTAAATACTTAATGTCATTATTATAGAGTTAAACAAAATAATGCATGGAGGGATAGGTTTTATTAAATTGGTGATAGAAGAGAAAATTATGCATAAATTTTTCTGTATGGTCTAGAAATGACCAAATAAACAATCGGGGTTGGGTATGTAATTGAATGAATTCGTCAGCTTACTATGTCTTTGGTATTATATACTGATTTTTTATTGTTGAATAATTCATTGGTTAGATTCTTTTTAGTCTCCTATGCTTCGAATAGCTTTGTTTTTAATCTTTTTGCCCTCCAATGGAATATAAGAAGAAACAGCAAGTTCATTTAAAAAAAGAAATAATCGAACTTCAAAAAATAGAAGCTGAGCTGTCAGCAAAGAAAGCGAATCTGACGAATATGATTCGATCCAAAATTGATAAGCATAACGAAATTGTTAAAAAAGTGCAAGAACTAAAAATTGCATACAAAAAAAAGATTGAATTATTTAGAGCCTTCAAGTTAGCTATTAAAACATACAAGGAGCAGCAAATTCCCCTACTGATAAGTCAATACAGGCGACATATTACAAATACAGTCTCACAGATCAATGAGTTAGCTTTTGATTTGAACACATCAATATTTAAGGACTTTGATATTTTAAAAATTATTAATGTAGACAAATTCCCCAATTTGGAGACTCAAAAGGATAGATTTTATGATCATCAAAAGCTAAGGTTAAAATCACATCTTTTAAAGGGAATTGAAAATTCTAAAATCAATGAGATTATATTCACAATGCATTTTATAGTTAAGTATGAAGATTATTTTAGAGAATTGATATTATTTGTGTTTTTATTCAGAAGAATTGAGAATAAATTTGAATATCATTTTATGTCAGATAAGGAAACAAATCGGTTGGATAAACCAAAATGGATATTTTCATTTTTGCAGAAAGAGTTTGAAGAAAGCGAAAAAACCATCCGTTTGTATTTGAGTATTAAGGAAGAGTTCTACAGCTCTGAAGATATGTTTGCTAAAGATCATAGCATACATCATCTCAAGGATATATCCAACACACCTGAATTTATAAGGAATGTTTCGTTCCATAGCTTTGCACTTCTATCAACTGCTTGCATCCATTCAAAGCTTTATGAAATTTTAAATATTCAGAGTGAGCAGAAGAGAAACTTAATCTTACACTTTGCAAGCGAATTTATGAAGTTTAATAAAAATCTCCATTTAGTCTACAATTTCTCAATTCCACCATCGGAAGTTGAATGTGTATTAACAAATCAACAGATGGATTATTTGACCAGAGAACTATCAAACATTCATCAGCTAAGTTATGTTCAATGGTTTCGAATGTATAAAAAACTAGCCAAGGAGCTGTTTGATTTTATAGGAACATATTATGAATTGAATGTGAGCCTGTCATTGGATGACTTAGTTGACCCAGTTATTCAACATACCCGAAATTTGATTTCAAATCTAAGATTTATCAATAGAGAAGAAATAACGGTGGTATGCTTCATATTTTCTGAGCTGGAGGACTTTAAAGAATTTATTGTTGAAGAGGAGATTGAACTTCGGCTGAACTATCGTTCTGTTGAAAAAGATATTTCTACAGATGCACTAGATTGCATTTCTCGATTTAATTCAGATTTGATTGATTTAATTAAAAACCTGGCATTAAATGATACAGAAAATTTACTTAAAAAATTGTACAATTTTATTTATACAAGTTCTGAGACAAAAAGATTATTTGTTGTGGAATGCAGTAGAACTTTGGACGAATACAAGGGTTGTGCACAATTTTCAACCATTGAAAAGGTGATGGTAGGGGCAATTGACAAATACATTTTGGAGAATATATTATTTAAAATCCGATTTTCTTCAGAGGAATATTTAGAGTTTAGATTGTTTTATAAGAAGCTGAGAAGTATTTTCAAAAATTACAGCTGGCAATCTGACGAGGGCTGTGTGGCTCTGGATGGAGTATTTGAAGATAGAGTTCTTTCTGGGAAAGTTTATAAGATGATCAAGTCACTTTATGAATAAACTTGTTCAATTTGTTGATAAGGTTTTTTAAGTTGGACTTGTTTAAATAAAAGAGTTTATGTTGATTTCTATCACTACCACTTCCATATTTAAAATATCTTTATTAAACAAAACAACAACTATGCTCTATATTCCATAGTATTCAAGCACAGCAGTTTGCAAAATGTTTCCTATTCTCTTATATAAATCCAAATGAACGTGGTTGATCTTTATATTTTTCTGAATTGCTTTTACAGAAAAATATATGTAGTAGTCCAGGATGTCATTGAAATTTACATCGCTTTTGAAGGTTCGGACTCCTTCAGAACTATAAATTTTGGTTTTATAGTAAAAGAATATCTCATCAATCCTTTGTATTTGAAATTGTGCTGCAATTTTGGCCGTTTGAAGGTTTATAACTCCGATAATTCCCACATCAAAACCATATTTAGTCCTGCACTTTAAAGCATCCTGCTCATTTCCAACAATACACCATTTCCCACTCTGTAAAATGGCTGCATTTGATTCATCTATTACAAAAATATTCTTTTCCCTGCGAATATTGGAGGTAATACAGTTAGGATAAAACAAATATCCAATTAATGACAAAATTAGTGTTATAAGTGATGTAAATCTGGTTTTATTTTGTGCCATGTTTGGGTAAAAAAACAAATCTAAAACTTGATAGGTTGTTGAAGTCAAATTATTGTAGGTTTGGAAAATTAACTTTAGAATTTTATAGTACTGGTTAATTACATTAAACAATATTTTAGTTTATTCATTTAGGATCATATTCATGATGATATCTTGTCTTCTTACCATTAAATTCTATGACAATGTATTAATGGATACTATGATATATCAGCAAGTTCCTACCCCTCTTATAACAAATAGAATCTTGATATAATTTATTTAATGTAAGAATTACATTTTATCCAAGGGCGTCACTCCTAAAAGACTCAAGCCATTATTAAGAACTATTCTTGCAGAGCTTAGTACAATAAGTCTTGCTTTTGCTAGTTTATCAGTAGAATTCTTAACCTTTAGTTTGTTCAGGATAGAATTAACTGATTTACTAACATCAGCCAAGTAAAGAACAATTCTTGAGGGTTCGAAGTCCATAAGGGTAAGCTGAATGACATGTTCATACCACAGGAGCTTATAAGCAAGATTATGAACATCTTTGTCATCAATCAATGAAAAATCAGTATCTTCACAATTTAAAATATCAATATGAGAGTTTAGAGCCTCAATACTACGTAATCTACAATGAGTATACTGTAAAGTAGGCCCAATGGCCTGTCCTTTTTGAGTCTTTCCTCTCTCTTCAATATCAAATGTATAACCTTTTATTCTTTTTGCAGTAAAGTCAGAAATTAATAGCAAAGAAATTGCAAGCGTAAGAGCTACTGTCTCTTTGTTCTGAATATCATTGTCCTTCTCGTTTATCAGATCCAGCATTACTTTTGTAGCTGTCTCAATAACATCCTCAATAAAGTGAACAGTTCCTTGTCTAGTTGACATACCCTTGACCATTCCATATCCGACATGCTGCAATTTCTTCTCATCATACCCCATTTGTCCCATAATATTAAATAATTGCTGGAAATGCTTTTCCTGTTGATTAGCAACAACATAGATGATACGATCTGGATTGTATTTTTCAAACCTATCAATTGTTGATGCAATATCCCTAGTCATATACAATGTAGTACCATCAGATTTCTGAATCAATGCCTTTCCATATTCACCACAATCAATAACTTTACTACCATTCTCATCAACAGTTGCAATTTTTGTGGTATTTGCAATTTCCTTTCCCCTTTCATTATAGAGACTTTCTCCAGAATAAACATCAAACTCAACATTTAGCATCTTATAAAGAATTTTATATCGTTCAATAGACATTTCTCTAAAAAAGCGCCATTGACTCAAATACTTCTCGTTATGATTAGCTTCCATCTCATGGAAAATGTTTCTGGCCTCCTCCTCGTGACAATCCTCTTCTTTGTTAATTCTAACATAGACTTGAAAAAGATGTGTCAACGAATCTTTTTCAAGTTCTTCCTTACTTCCATATTTTTCATATCCCAAAAGTACTAATCCAAACTGCTTTCCCCAATCACCAAGATAATTTATCGAAGTGGTGGTATATCCACAAATATTGTGGAGATTTTTGATGAAATTTCCCAAGATAGTTGTTCTAAAATGCCCAACATGGAAGATTTTGGCAATATTTGGACTACTGTAGTCAATGACGACATGTTTGCCGTTTCCCACTTTTGAAGACCCAAAAAGGTCCTTCTTTTCCTGAATTGTCATAAATATTTCCTTAAAGAACTTCTTCTTATTTAAATTGAATGTAATACAGTTCTTAATGTTCTCAATTTCACAAATATTTTCTAAAGAGGCTGCTTTTAGGGTCTCACACATTCGTCTTGCTGCTTCTTGAGGATCATCCGAAATGGTGTCAAAGAAAATACAAAAGTCCTTTTTATTGTTGTCATTACACTTAATAAGTAGCTTTGCAATCTTCTCTGCCGAATATTCAGAATGTTTAACAAGTGTATTCACCACATCATCAATAATTTTATCAAAATTCATTGGGCCAAAAAATTTTGACAAAATAATTTATTCGAAGATTGTGTTGATTATTAATCAAAATGCCAGATTAATAGGAAATACAAAATATGATTAAACTAACAAAAATAGAGCTAGTAGTTCAATTAATACAATCAGTTAAGTTTATCATCATATGATAGTTTACAGTTATTATGCTTGTTATTTAGATATTTTAACAGATGGATCCACAAACATCTATTAAGTATTTAATGGTTTATTCATTAGGTTTGATCACTACTTTGATTAGAAGTTACAAACAATTAATAGACCACCATTTTATGTTATTTGACAGAGTGCTTTCAACTCCAAATAACTTTTTCAAGCAATTATTATTATGAAAAATTGGAAAACAAAAAGAACATTGATTAAAAAATAGGATCTACATCCCTTTGGAGACTTCTCAGAGAAATTTCGCCGTCCTTGCGCAGGGGCTATGCTAATCTTCTCAGTGTTGTTCCAAATAAGTAGCGTAGCCGAAACTACAACCCCTCAATAAAATATTTTTTAAATAGTAATTGATAAGTATAAACACATAACGACAATTTAATTTCTTTTAATGAGGCTAAATAAAATTTAACCTTTCTAGCATATCCTGATGTGATTTAATATAATGATATTTTCAATTGATTTAAAAATTTCTAATTGGCTGATTTATTATAGTTGGGATTTAAATACAATTTTCTTTGAATAGATTTGATCAAGTATTGCGAATTTATTTGTAAAATATATACATTTTTTGGAATAGCTCTTTTGAGTCAATTGTAAGATACAAGGGTTGCCCATTAAAGTTGCTGTAATAACCCTTGAAAATCATTTAGCGATTCTTCTTTGAAATTGATCAGATCATTTTTAATTTAGAACCAATAAAATAATTTATTGATTAAACCAACAAAATTTTTAATCACAAAATAAAATAACATGTGACTGAATTTTGATCTTGGATTTGATCAATCTCCTTATAGAACAATTGGTACATCAATATCAAGGCAGCCCATATAAAAAAAAGAAAGGAGTATACTATATGACACAGTTGGAAGCCAACTTGCAAACTAAATTCAATATGGTAATAGAAGAATACAGCACTAAAGGAGAATATATTTTGCCGACATCAAGCCGAAAAATAGAAATGTTTAATCTTAACTCCTTGATTTACATTGAGTTTAAAAACTTTGTGGCAATCCTTGAGGAAATTTTAAATATAAAACTCGAGCCTAATATGGTAAATTATATTCATAGCAAATTGTATATTGAAAATATATCCCATTTTGTACCATCAATTTCAAAAGCAGTTTGTTCCAACTTTGTAGATGGGCGCACATTCGCTGAAATCAGATCAGTTGCACTTGAGCATGGGTGTAAGCCACTGCACAGTGAACCCAAGGAGAAAGAAAAAAAGCGTGATGACTTTGGAATTGGTGATGATGATCTTTATAGAAGCATTTTGTATGACGATGACTTCCTATTAAAACAGCTACACCGTCAAAATATCAACAAACAGAATACAATTATCGATGAAGAAGAATTCCAATCCCCAATCTTGCTGAATGATCCTTATGCCCAGATAAATGAACTGAAATACCAAACTCACTTCACTACATCAGAATTCAAAAACATCGGTAGAAATGATATATTCCGTGGAAACCCTTATGCTTCTGAAATGGTTAATAAAGGAATTAAACACATGTATCCTTTTGAATATGCACCCATTTTCGTACAAAGTGATGATACTCAGGAGAGAATATCACACATTGTTCGTAACGATTCCTTAAAGAAATCCCAAGGATATTCTAGCCAACAATCTAAGCCGCGTGGGAAGCAAATGGAGTTTATTGGTGATGAGCTTTCGGAGAGGCCATTTGTTTGTAAATTTCCAAACTGTAATAGAGCATTTAAGAGATTTGAGCATCTCAAAAGACACAATAAAATGCATACTGGAGAAAAGCCATATAAATGTAAATATCCCGGCTGTCCTCGTGAATTTTCCAGATCAGATAATTTAACAGCCCATTATAAAACTCACAATATTACAAATCGTAATGATATGCCCATGGAATACAATGCTAAAGCCTCAAACTTTGGAAATTATTGAAAAATAATTTCCAAATAGTAGTTAAATGTGATTATACCAAGCTTGTAAAACAAGAGTTACAAGCAGTTCTATTGTACAATAAATTCTTTCCCCAAGCCAATTTCTATATGGTTTTAATCCAGAAAATTTTTCATTTTCCTAAAAATAATGAATCGACTGGAACACAAAGTGTGTATGAAGCAATTTGTAGCGATAAAGATATTTTCTACTAATTATTCAGACCACTTTTATCAGATTCCAAATTTTTAATAAAATCTTCTCTATTAATTTGCTGAATTGTTTTATCCTCCATGTAAGCCTTTATAACAATATCAATGTCAGTATGAGAAATTAGGGTCGCTTCGTCCTGCAATGCTTCAAGATATTCTTTTTCTGATGGACAATCCATAGAATAATTCCTTTTGCTATGCGAATTTTCCTTTATTGCACCTCTAAATTCCTGTAATAATATAGGAGGATCTGCAAATAAGATATTCTGATCTTCTTCTTCTTGAAGGTAAAACTCCTCAGAACAATTGTCATAGACTAAATATTTTCCATTTTCAGGGTCTGTCTTGAGAGAAAAATAATTTTTGCAACTAAAGCATTTAATTTCAAACACATGAATTGGTACACCCTTAAAGGATTTACCATTCAAAATTGTCTTTTTTGCATTGAATCGCTTTCCTTGAGAGGTTGACACCTGGCAGTGATGGCAAATTACTTGGAATGGCATTTCAAATCGTACAGTATGGCCTCCCAATCTTGGAGTTGCCATTTTTAGAGCCATAAAATTTGGATGAATTTTGAATCGTGGAAAGCCCCCAAATGAATTTTTCTTTAGATGAATTAAAGGATTTAGATAATCAAGCATCCCAGCTGTACGAAGGATTGATAGAAATAAGTGTACTATTAGATGGTGTTGGGGCAAATGTGCTGGGGATGAATGATGTAGCAGAGAAGATCTGCAAAGCTAACAAGCTTTATAAAGAATTAATAAAAGATATTAGCATGTAAAAATGGATGTAATATCCAAGTTGTATATAGTTTTAGAATTCCTTTTGAGAAAAGATATCACAAGCTTTGTGAAGATATTAACTTTTCCCAAAATTGTAAATACATACAAATGTCAGAAACTAAATTGCTGAATGTCTGTTTCGATATTCAATGTAGCACATTTGTCACTATAAAAGTTATTAAATCACGAATAATTTGTATTAGTTATTTTCATACAATGTTTTATAGAGATATAAGCAATTTTCTCCAAATATCATCATTCTCAGTGGCCGTATTTTCATAATTAAATCTGTATCATACATTGTATAGTGAAGATTGGTTAATAATAAACAAATTTGTTCAAATTTTGATTGTAGTAAACCCTAAAATGACTAATTCCTCGACGACAAAAATAAAAAATCTTTACTGCCATTTTGTGAAGGATTTGTCCACCAATATCTTACAATCTCAGTTCAAAAATATTTCCAACCAAATTGATGAATTGATACGAGAAATAGATGATGAGATTAATTTTCTAGAGTTTGATAACTAGAATATAACACTGTCCAATAAATTGTTTACTTTGGAAACTTCGTTTTATAAATTGTTATATGTTCTTTTATAGAGCTTTATGCACTGTAAACTTTGAAGGAAAAATATTTTAATCACAATGATGTGTTTGACAGGTGTTCTTTTATAGATAACAAAATCCTACCCAATAATGGAAAACCTTTTAAAATTTAAGAATGGGCATAATTTAGTTGGAATTAAAAGCTCAACATTCTATATATCATTTTTGCATCAAATTAATATGTACATAGATGTTGTGAAACCAATTGAAGCTAGGGCAAGGTTGAAAATATTTGTTCAGAAATGGATGTCTATTTTACAGGAAAATGTTAATGATGCTGTATTAACTACAAACAACAATGCTAAGGTAATCTTGGATAACCAATGTTCCTCTATCCACTATCTGATTGTTGGGTGTTCAAGAAATAGATATGATATAAAAAACAAATCTGAACACTTCAATGTTTCAGAAAATGGTAAAACATACTGTAGTAAGGATGATATCTCTAGTAAATCATCATTTTCTACCTTAAGAAGTAAACAAATATATTTTATTGATAAGCTGAGGCAAATAACCTTGGAGGAAATCAGAAAATTACAAAACAAATGGTGCATTTCACAACTAAAACGGTTACACATGTATATACACCTTATACAACTTCATTTCTGTCAAGACAAAAGTCTCTTTAGCAAAATTAATGAGTTTTTAAATACAAATTTTAAACTCTCTGATCATGACACAGTTGCACATGCTTTACGTGGTAATTTGTCGAAAAATCGAAACAGACATTCAGCAATTTAGTTTCTGACATTTGTATGTATTTACAATTTTGGGAAAAGTTAATATCTTCACAAAGCTTGTGATATCTTTTCTCAAAAGGAATTCTAAAACTATATACAACTTATACAACTTCATTTCTGTCAAGACAAAAGTCTCTTTAGCAAAATTAATGAGTTTTTAAATACAAATTTTAAACTCTCTGATCATGACACAGTTGCACATGCTTTACGTGGTAATTTGTCGAAAATTATAGACATATATCCTAAATACAGAGATGGAGTTGAGGAATATGTTGCAAATATGAATAGTATCCATTTATCAAAATCACAAAAAACAGATTCGATCTCGACTTCCTTTAATTTGAAGGAATGGAAGTTGAAACATCAAATTCCGGACTTTCTATACGAAATATTTTCTGGGAAGCATCAGATGGTCGAGAACGACTTGGAATATAATATGCTTGCTACAAATTGGCATTTTCAGATTTCGAAGATATAGAGTTTCAAAATGAATACTTGGATGTTTTAAGGGGGGATGTTACCAAAATAAAGAAAGAGGGAATGCTAGGATTACTTATAAATCTAGTATTTTCCTTGGAAGTAAATTCTTTGGAGCACTATTTTGAAGAGGTTTTTTTGGAAATTGTGGACTTTGATTGTTATGTGGCCGTAAAGTATCTATCCTTTACCAAAAACATTGACTTTTTTTATAACCTATTGATGTCCAAGGTAGATTTTATACAAATGATAGAGTTATAGATTTGGTGCATTTTGCAGTAGAAAATCATATTGAAATCGTTTATTCAATTCATAAATATGCTATGTATCTTCAAGATACTAAGAAATACCATCTGTTGTGTAGATTCTTGGTTCAGAATAATGTAGTTGATTTTAAGTATGCGCGACAGACAGTTGATTATTTTATTCAGAATATCAGTTCTTTTAATCCTCTGATTACCAAAGACTTTTTAAAGGATCCGGCAAACATGTTTATGTATGAAATAGGAAATATCAACAATTTAAAAAAACCAAGATTCCATATTCTAATTGAAAGTCCCTATTTTGATTGGTATAGAGACGATATTTTAAGGGAAATAATAGAGAAGGGGGATAAAGACATTTGTCTTCTAGGACTTAAGAAAATTTTACATTATGAAAAACAAGGAATATTAATTGATATTAATGTCAAAGAAACTCTACTAAATAAGTTTATGTGATAGTTTAGGTAAAAAAAGTGCTAAAATTATTAAAATGGATGGTTAGAGCATATATATTGAAAATAGAATTATATAACCTTTTAAAGTCAAGCAAGATTTGGAATATATCCCAAGAACTTCCGGTTACCTAAATCTAATTTTATTGATTAAACATAAATATGTCTAACAATAACAATGGGTTCCCATGGTTCACGGTCTAAATACTTGATAATCTGTGGAATAAATATTAAGCTATGACTTACCAAAAGCGCTTCAAAAAGGTATTTTAGAAATATTGTCATTTCACGAGGTAAAATAGAATTTCCATTTGAATCAATTCCCAAATTCTCTGTGATAATTCTGGTCAAATTCAAGCAAATATCTTGGTCGTTATCACCCAATGCTATAGAAGATAGAATACCTGTGGTCAAATATGTTATTAAAATCAACAGATCAGCCATCAAAAATTTCTTAAAAACCAAGGAAAAGACTTCCTTTCTGTCTTTGTAAAGATTCCAGGAACTTGCCAGAAATTATTAAATGAAATTAATGGCAGAGCCAAGGCAAATCCACTTCCATTGAAGTTCCTTTTTTCCAAATCTATTTTTTGTCTCAGAAATATATAGCAATATACTGAAAGCAAAACCACTACAGTAGCTATACATAAGTTTAACGTATATAGAAGATTTTTAATTTTCTTATTGGCCCCAAATATTAAAATAATGATTGGTGGGATTACAAATATAGCCATACCGAACATATTTTCCATAGAAAAATAACCTGTTGTACCCGAACTGATAATATAGTAGATAATTAGTATGATTGAAAAACCTCTTGCAAAATTAATAGGTATCCATGAAGATGGCCCAAACCAAGTATAGTCCAACTCTGCTTCTCTTAGAGTTACTTTTCTCGTGTATTCCTCAAATTCTAAGTCTAGTTTATTTGCTTCGATGATCTTAGAATCACCTCCTTTATTATCAAACTCAGGATTTATACTCGGGATCTCCTGGATTATTTTTTCAAGTTCCGGATGAGTGATGTCTTTGCCTTCGTTAGTAATTTTCACCCTAAGTTTCTCACGTTTGGGGATATATCCTAGCTGTTTTCTAAGATGCGAATTGTATTCTTCAAGGAATGTTCCATCAGCTTTTTTATTTAAGACATTGCAGCATCTGCAACAGATAAGATATGTCCAAAATAGATTACATAAGGCAACTACGCAATATGCTATCACAAATAGTTTGATTCCAAGTGAATAGCATGCATATGTTGCAAATAATAAACCTTCTCCAATTGATGATGCATAGATCTCTGCAACAGTCCCTTCTAAATCCATACCCCATACTCTTTCAAATAAGATTTTTTTCTAAAGGAGAAAATTGATATAGTCCCTTTATATTTCAACCATATATTGCAGAGTTGAAAGATGAATTTTTTGTTTTGAGAAACTTTCATTCCTGATATTTAATTTTAATAAATTTTGATAATTGAGAAAGAGATATTTCCAAAAATCTATGAAGAATGCTGATGCTGTATGTTGAAAATAGGTGATTAATTAGCTTTGTTTTAAATCGTGTGTGCCATTTCTAACCTTGAACTGTCCTTAGCTGCTATATGTTTTGATTTTCCAAAGCTGATTCGTTTAGTTAGTTTCAAGATAAATAATTTATCGTTTATGAAATAAACATCCTAAAACAGTTTCAAGCGAAATATAAAACCAATTTCAACTATTATGACAATGAAGAGCTCAGGTAAATCCAATGTCATTATTATGGCAGCTGTTCTAACTATTGGCTTGATTTTATTAGATATCAAGATATACACATCAACAGGACGTAGTAGACTTGCAGAAGTATCTTCTGCTATAACATCTGTGATTAAACTACATAACATTAAGCCAAGGAAGTTCAAAAAGAACTCCTCAGACGATGAAATTGCAGACTTGCACAACAAAGTTACTGATCTGATTAAAAAAATGGATGAGCATGAAAAAACCTATCATTCCAATGAAAATCCTGCTGAGAGAATTTTAACTCCTCTCAATACTAGGAAAGGAGAAGAATTAAATATTTCGAATACACAGCCTAAGCTACCTCAAATGCTATTCAATGGATCAACTAATCATACGGATTCAATTCAAGAAGTGAAAATTCCGAAAGTTTTGTTATCAGGGACAAATCAATCATATGTATCCCAAAAAGCTTCAACAAATAAGGCTCAACCTCAACTACCTAGCAAAGAATCAAAATCCAACTTAAATACAGTTGATATCTCAAATGAGATTGATAGAGCTATGAAAAAATTAGTTGGTGAAAAATTCACAGATATAATTAGGAAGCATGAAAGTGACCAAGGAATCATGGAAAAAAGAATGTATAATCCTCTTCATATAGGAGACAGCAATTCTGATAGAAGGTCGTTAAAGATAGATCCGCTTGTGGAAATTAGACGTTTCGATGACTATAACGCCTTTAGAGATTATGGAATGAAAAAGAAGCAGAATAGATCTGAGGAAATCAATGACAATGATGCCAAAGAAATAAAATTTGTTAGGATGTCTCAATTACCTGAATTGATTAAGACTGATGGTAAGTCGTCAGAAGTTGATGCACAGATTGACATGCAAAATATGTTAGATTCGAATAATACAAGTTTCGATAAACCTTTACGAACTGAAGAGTCTCCTGTTTCATTTCTCAAAATATCTAAGCCAGTTAGTGAGGTAAAAATTGTGAAAGCTATTAAAATTAATTTACCAAAAATCAATTCTCCAACGATAGAAAAAGATTTTGATGAAGTCACAAAACGAATAGGAGATGAGGATCGTACAAAGACAGTAGTTGAGGCCATTGAGAGGCTGAGGTCATTTGAAAGACAACAAGCAGTTAAAATCACATCAAATCAGGAGAATTTGATCAAATCTACAAAGAATTTTGTTAAAAAGCTTGATAAAGCTGTTAAGAAGATGGAAAAAGCAGCAAGAAAACTTGAAGAAAGCAGTTATATTAAAAAGGAAGATAATAATACAGCCAGGGATATCAATGAAGGGACTATTAAAAAGAACAATGAGACTCCTGAGATAAAGAATAGTAAGATAAATGATATAAAAGCAGACAGTAATATAAAGGATGTGAAAAGTGTAGACGAATCAATTAGCTCTGAAATAATAGGTGAAGCACCAGGAATCGTAAAAAAGCCAACAACTAGCAATAATTCTTTGACAGCGGATATTGAAGCAAATGCATTTACGGATGATCTTTTTAAAAATATTGATTTTTCCAAGCCCTTAGAACAATCAACTACAAATGGAGTAGATAAGTTAGATAAGGAAATTAAAACAATGAAGGCATCCAAAAAACTTTTGAAAGAAATTGAAGCGGCTGGATTGAAGGATATTTCCCATATTAATGAAGATAAAGTAGAGAGCTCCAAATTGCTTACTGAAGGAACAGTAAGAGTTTAATAAACCTTTCTCGAGATAAATCATAAGAATATGCTTTTTTACCAGTTTTCTATGTTTTATTTCATAGAAATGATCTCATTTTTTTATTTTGTTTGCCCTTATATGCTCAATGATGTGGTGTCCTGTGGAACAACAATTATTGCCTTTAAATATAAGGAGGGAATAATACTCGCTGCTGATAGTAGAACTTCTTCTGGTGCATATATTCCATCTAGAGTTACAGACAAGATTAATGCTATATCGGATACCATTTATTGCTGCCGGAGTGGAAGTGCAGCAGATACACAAATAATCATCCGAAATATCAAACGTAAGATCAACAAACTGGCCCTTTCAGAAAATACAAAGCCATCCGTTAAAAAGACCGCGACTTTAACCAGTAGTATTATTTATAACAACAAGGAACATATGCTAGCCGGTATTATTGTTGCAGGCTACGATACAGAGTTCCAAATTTATCGAATAAGTCCAGATGGATCAGTGTACAGTGGAGATATCATTCTTGGGGGAAGTGGATCTGGCTTCATATATGGATATTCCGATGCGCATTATAGAAATGATATGACTCTTTCAGAGGCTGTGGAATTTGCCAAATGTATGATCAGACTAGCTATTAACAGAGATGCTGCTTCAGGAGGCGTATGTAGAATAGCAGCTATTGAAAAAGACAAGGTGACTAGATATTTTCTTGATGGGGATAAAGTATTTCTTGAATAAATAAGGATATTAGTACAACTAATTAAATAAAAAATTTTTGATTGGAGGACAATCAACTCATTTTTTGGATTTCTAATTCTTCACCCATATTAACCCTGAAATGCCATTCCTTTTCTTTATGTAGAGAATGCTTGAGAAATTGAATGTTTTTAATTGGCAAAATATACTGTCTTTGTAAAAGGTTTTATATTGAATATTCAATATCCCATTTTGGAAGAATCATTGTAGAAATAGCAACAGAAGATATATTGGTGGTATTTAGTCTATAATACTGTGAAACTCTACTGTTTTAACTCCTTTCGTGTTTATTGGATCCTTTCACTTTAAAAGCCGTTTTAGGTTGATTGTTTATAAGCCCCTTAGGAATGTACAATAAGTTAACTCTAATACTTTTATCATCGGTGACACTTCTGATATTTAGTTTAATCTTACCAGCAAGACAAGCAGAGGTAAACATGAGTGATCCTCAATATTTAAAGGAGTTTAAGCCTGATTCAGTTAGTTTCAATGCACTTGCTTTATTCTCAATCGGATTACCTGTAGTATTGATATTGCTAACAAATCAATCTAATCAAAGAAGAAACTCTAAAAACAAACGACTTTTTCTTCTAGGTGCTATTACAAATGTGATTTTTGTGACGGCTATCTGTGAAATTCTAAAGTGTATATTCGTAAAGCCTAGACCTGACTATGCTGATAGATTGAACAGATTTGCAAATGTAGATAATAAATCAAGTACTAATCCACATCAAAACATTGAATCAAAATCTAGAATCGAGAAGGCCATTGCTGCAATCTATACTAAAGATGCAGTGAAGAGTTTTCCATCAGGCCATACGGCCATAACATTTTCTACGGGGTTATATATGCTATTCTATCTAAATATGATTAAAACAAATAGCTATATACAATTTTATTTTTTCGTTATTGCACTCATTTTGGGAGGATTGGTTGGTAATTCGCGTATATCTGATCATAAACATTTTCCAATTGATGTAGTTTGCGGAGCCATTGTTGGAGTTTATTGTACCATGGTAATAGCTTGGATTATCAAGAAAGAAAATATTGATGATGAGTGCGATGATGCGTAGAAATAAATGTAATCTTATCACATATCTACTAATTTGTTGAATTTTTAATCATAAAGCTAAATTGGGTTGATAAGTACCTTTTTATTCAAAAATATGCTTCCTTTTCCTCTCTCTCTTCCTCTATCAATTCATCGTCATTTTCATAAACTTCATAATCATCACCACCTTCTAAACTTACCTCTTCCACTTCACTCGACTTTTCGTCCTCATCATTGTCATCCCCAATCAGTCTTTCATCAAACGTTAGTTTTGCTATGCTTTTTGAAGCTTGAACTCCATACATTTTAACCAGTTCTGGTCCTGTTAATTCTCGGCTGACGGTTGCCATTATTGCCTCGTAATTTGTTTCAGAAATGTATTTATCAGTATATCGTTGTATTTCTCTCGGCTCTGGTAGGTTAAAGGAAAGATCTCTAAGTTTCTGTTTGATTTTCTTTTCTAACTCAATTTCACTCGATTTTTTTAAAGGAAAATTAAAGCTCAGTAAATCATTTTCCATCTCTAGGACTAAAAAATATAAATCAAATTAAATATATGAAAAATCACTCTATCGAGTTGATTGGGTAGAACAAGGATAAGCACAAGATATTACTCATCAACGGTGCGGTTTGCATCCAATGGTATTCTATTTTTTTAGTTCTATTTTTCCCACCCTCCCCTCCACTCATGGAACTTTTTAATTTTGCAGAAAATCTGAAATTGTCAAATGAAAAATTAAAGATAGACGAGTTTCACAGCAATAATTACAGCCTCTTTGTTATTTCAAGTTCGAATAAAAATTGCAACATGAAAATGCTTTTAAATGTGAAAACACTCTTTCATAAAATGCTACCAAAAATGCCCAAGGAATATATTCTACGTCAAGTTTTGGACAAGAAGCATTGTTGTTTAGTATTAACAGGTTGTGACGAAACAGACATTATTGGGGCTGTATGTTACAGGCCTGCATATGATCTCGGCCTTGTGGAAGTTGTATTTTTGGCCATAAATTCATCCAACCATGTTAATGGATATGGAACATTTTTAATGAACTGTTTGAAGGAAACTGTAAAATTACAGTTTTCAGCATATATATCTGGTATTAATAAGAATGCATTGAATTGTGAAACTTTGAAAATTAGTAATTTAGAAATATTTCAGAGAATCCAAGATGTGAGAAATCATCAGCTGAATATGGCTGATCCAACAATTGATGGGTCCAAACATTTTAAATTTTCAGATGAATACACTAGTGATAAAAACCTATATCTGTTAACATATGCTGATAATTCTGCTATTGGATTTTTTAAAAAACAGGGGTTCTCTCTGAATCCCGTGTCAACGAGCTGGATTGGATTTATTAAAGATTACGATGGAGGGACTCTTGTTGAATGTAAAATACATAAGGATATCAACTATTTTGATCAAAAATCTCTGATTCTAAAATTAGGTAATAGATTTTTAGATAAAATGAAAGATCTCAATTCATTCCATATTATCAGGGAACATGATGATCCTGAAATTCCAAATGCCATCGACACACATCTGCCGGATAGAACTCAAAATGAATTTTTGAAGGATTTCTTATATTTCTTAATCTGTGATCTGGAATCCAATCCATCTGCTTGGCCATTTATAGAACCAGTGAATGCAAAGGATGTTCCAGAATATTATGACGTGATTTTGAGACCCATGGACTTATCTAAAATTTTGGATAAATATCAGAAATCAGAGTATTCTACTGTAAATCAATTCATCCAGGATGTTTTGCTGATGGTAAATAATTGCTATATATTTAATGGAAAGGATACTCAATATTATAAATGTGCAGAAAATATACAATCTCGGTTCTTATCACAAATTAAGCAATATAGAGATACAATTGAAATGTGGGGATACAGAGTTGATTATGATATTTAATAGTGAATCAATTTAATTGAAATTAAGTGATAAGGACAGATCAGTTGTGTTATTTTAGTATTCTCAAATGGATATGTCACAACTTTCACCAAAACTAAATATGCAATTGTATAGTTAAGCTGTGTTTCCATAGATTTAATAACTTCGATCATTTTTGAACATTTATTATTCAAGATAACACTATACCATTACTCTAACCAATCAATAATATTATATGGTTATGTTTAACAAATGCTATATTATTTGTTTTTTACATATTTTTCACCCATGGCAGAATTCATAGAAGAGTTAAAGCAATTTGATCCCGAGGTCGAAGTAATTCCAGAAGAATTGATTTTGGAGAAAATTAGACTAATAAATTCAGAAACTAGGATGCTGCAAAGCGAAATTACACGAGTCCAAAATGAAATCCACAACAAATCGCGTTTTATTGTGGAAAACATGGACAAAATCAAGCTAAACAAGCATTTGCCATATTTAGTTGGACACGTAGTGGAAACATTTGACAAATCTAATGGAGTTGTTTGTTCTTCTACAAGACAGACTAGTTATTTAGAAATGTTAGGCTTGGTTCCGTCAGAAGAATTAAAACCAGGAGATTCGGTAGCATTGCATAAAGAAACAAATATTATTTTTGAAAAACTTCCACCAACCTATGATGCAAAAGTACTTTCCATGGAATTGGACGGAAAACCAGATGAAACATATGAAGATATTGGTGGATTAGAGAGGCAGATCGAAGAATTGAACGAAGCTATTGTTCTTCCTTTACTTTTCCCTGAAAGGTTTTCAAAGCTGAATATTCATCCACCAAAGGGAGTTTTGATGTATGGACCTCCAGGAACGGGTAAGACTTTAATGGCAAGAGCATGTGCCTCTAAAACAAATGCTACATTTCTAAAACTAGCTGGCCCACAGCTGGTACAAATGTACATTGGTGATGGGGCTAGACTAGTCAGAGATACTTTTGCTCTTGCGAAAGATAAGAAGCCATGCATAATATTTATCGATGAAATAGATGCCATTGGAACAAAAAGAGCTACTTCTGATAAAACAGGAGATAGGGAAGTTCAACGAACGATGCTAGAGCTGTTGAATGAGCTGGATGGGTTTTCAGTGAATTCAGACATAAAGATTATTGCAGCTACGAACAGGGTTGACATACTTGATCCTGCACTCCTAAGATCAGGCAGACTTGATAGGAAGATTGAATTCCCATTGCCAAGCCTGGAAGGGAGAAAAAGAATTATTCAAATTCATGCCAGAAAGATGAGTATTGACGATGCTGTTAATTTTGATGAATTGGCTAGGTCGACTGAGGGATTTAATGGCGCACAATGCAAAGCTGTATGTGTAGAAGCTGGTATGTCTGCAATTAGACAAGATAGATTATCGATTGGACAAGTAGACTTTGCCAATGGAATTAATGAAGTTATGTCAAAGAAGAAATCAAACATTATGTATTTTACATAAATAAAATTTTTAGTAATATCTCTGAAAAATCTAGTATTTCCCACAACACTCGGATTTCTTAACTTCTCTCTAAATAGTTAGAAGCTTATGATCATAAGGTAATATTGAAAATCTTCACATTTATTTATAAAACGTTAAAAAGTTGCGTCATTCCATTGACCTTTTTATTCTTCTTGGTCATACTCTTCTCTCTGTATGTAAGGTATGCTAAGATGATCAAATCAACCAGAGCAAAAACAGCCAGGAAATAAAAGACTGCTGCAATATGAGGAGATTTAAAGTAGACTTTAAAAGTTAAAAGATCACGATCTTCTATAAAAAAGATACAGGTTGTATTCGGGAAAAGATCAAATTTGATTTGATCTATTGTAGGAGATTTTGAAAATGGAATTCCAACCAGGAGATATTGCAAGAAAAAGTTTGTTTCTCCAAGCCCCACAAACACACCAGGTTTATAGAGAGATGGATATGAATTTTGACTTGGCTGTGAAAATTTTTTAAATCGTGATCCATTGTCTAATCCCATAAGATATGATAGCCCAGGTACATGCGAGGAAAAGCTAGGAGTTCCGCTAACCGATGTAAGGTCAATTTTGTTATATATAATTTCCTTAGAAATACGAGCTGAAAATAGCTTACATTTTGCTTCTTCTTCTGAGTTAATCACCAAAGAAAGCTGTCCGAAATCATTGAAGTCTGCAGCAGAGATACTTATGACCTTGGTTAGTGAATCTAGCCTACTTTGGTAACTTACTTCATTTATAGCCTTATTTTTTAATCTAAAGCCTTTAATTTTCCCTTCTTCTGTGATCACAAAAATGTGCTGCCTACCGCTAGAATTGATATCAGCAATGAAAATACCGGATTGCATTCCAAACACATTGGCCTTTCTGATTGAACATTTTAATGGATGAGTTATGGGGGCTTCAGAGTATATATGTTCGGTAAAATTCTCTGGTGCTTTTAAGTATTTCAATGTCTTATCAATGTCCTTAAACATCTTTAAACTTTCAGAGTTTTTTAAATTTTGATAAAGGTTTAAAAATGTTCCTTCATTGTTAACTCCTATAACAATTAAATCATAGTGAATATAATCTTTCTCGGAAAAAATAAATGCAGTGGAATGAACATTATTCCCTAAATTGAGCTTCTGAATGCAGTTGAAATTTCCATCAACTAAGTGATATATCTCTAAGTTGATAGACATATCCTCATTAATTGTATTTAATGCTAAATCTGGAATTAAATTTCCTGTTAAATCTAGATAGGCACTTGTATGGTTTGGAGCCAATTTTCCAGAAATTGGTTTGAAATCAGATGACGTCAATCCGCTAATGGTAATACGCCCAAAAACAATATTATCCTTCGATTGATAGACGAGAATTGGAGTATTACTAACTGCATCTAAAAAATACAGTGGAGTAACTGTTGTTTTTATGAGACTAGTAACAACCTGCAGCTTTTCATTAAGCAATTCAACCTCAAATTTTTCACCATTGGCACCTTCAGAAGACAGATGACTAACTACAAGCAAATGATGTTCGTTATTTAGTGGTATATCGTTGATTATATTAATGATTCTTCTTTCAGATGTTGAATAAACTGAGGAAGGAAACCGTGTTTTGTCAGTGGAGATTTTCGTGACTTTCTCTATAAATGTCTTTGAGGGATCCTCGGTATTGATTCCGAACATTGCAGTTTCCTCTCCGTTAGAACCGATACCGAAGCTGAATAAAACAAAGTGTTCGATTATCGAGTTCAAGTCCATTTAAGGGGCAGAGTTGAGCCTTAAATATTTTTCCTTAAAGCAATTATTGGTCAATCCCAAGGGGACTTCATCATTGAGTGAAACTTAACTCAATCTTATATGTAATTCCAATCTACATTAAAATAAATCTAGAAAAATTGTATTTTGATATTCAGATGGATATGATGCAAATAATTTTGCGACTAAGCCTAAATCTTAACTATATTGGAGGACTTGATTCTATAAATTTCTGGATTTATTCCTAACCCCAACATGATTAGAGATGAACTCGGCTCCAATCAGATGGATAAGCATACAAAACAAATGAAGCTCGCAGAAACTATTGAGAATATGTGTAATCGGCTTTTGAGGAAGCTCAAAAACACGGATTATAAAGCCATGGACTCTTTTAAACCATTTATACAGCCCAAAGAAAATATTGGAAATCTATTGGGGTTTTATGATTGCTATACCACAACACAAAAGAAGCTGGAGAAAATAAGAATAAAAATAGAGCATTCACCCCTCGAAAATGAAGATGCTGTTATCTCTATAAAGGAATTGGATGAGTTGAAGATGATCGAACTTTTGACAGATTATAAAAATGCCCTAAATAATCTTAAGGAATATTCGGACGTAAATATTGTGAGAATATTTGTGAAAGAATCAAGAGAGTATTTTGACAAAGTGGTAAACTCCATAAAACTGTCTTTCTTAAACGCGCTTACACGCCTTCCCAAAGTTATTCAAAATATTCATCTATATTCACAATTCTTATTAAAGAATATAAATGAAAAGGATCTTACAAGAGAATACACAAAGCAGGTTCATTCAAAGATGGGATTTTTTGGAATTCAAAATAATTTTCATGCCCTGGTTTCTTCCACAGTAAACTTAACTCAGTATTTCAATCTGATAATTAAATTAAATATTGAGATTTTAGGGAAAAGAGTGGCACACAATATAAACATCGGACTTATTAGCCTAATGATTATTAACCTTAAAAGGGTTATATGTGACCATCTTATGAAGATTGAAAAAAATCCAAAAGGAACCGATATTCCATTATTAATTAAACTATCTGGTAATTTGAAGCATTCTAAGGGGACAGTTATAAAGGAAATTGAAGATCTTTTTATATTTAAAGATCAAATTAACAAGGTGATATTAAATTGCCTAGTTCAATTTTTAGCTGAACTTGAGTTCATTGAGCATCCGAACTCGAAATTGAAGACTGAGGATCTCAACATAACTATGGAAGAGATACTAACCAGCTTCAAAGAAAATGAAAAGCTAAAAGAAGATTGGGTCTCCAAGTTTGGACCCTCTTTTGGAGTTTATAAATCCAAGGATCTTGCAGAGAATTTTGCAGGAAAATGCTTGATCAAAACACAATCACTTTCTGGACAATTATCGGATATTGAAAAATATGTTTATTTAATAAATAATAAGTGTATATTCAAGAACCATATTAAGAAGATTGATGGGATGAATCTTAAGTTATCTGTAGATAAAGACTGCCAGCTTATTCTCGGAATGTGGAAGATAAATTTGGAAACACTTAAAGGACTAGAATTAAATAGGTATCTTGAGAATGAATTTGAGATTCATACAAGATACTACTTGCCTGATGAACAAAGAAAGAAAGTCCAGGATGGTCTTAAGGAAATTGTTGAGGATTTAATCGTCAGAAGAATTATCCAAGGCCAAACCCTACACTTTAAAGAATTCATTGAAAGAACTTATATTGGAGAATAACAACTGGCGTAATGCAATATTTAGTGGTATAAGATTTACTTTTAGATAGTGTTGTTACTATGAAGATGTAGGATTTGTTAGAAGAACCTCACTTGCAGAAATTTCTGTTTATTGTGTGTATTCATTGGGATATACACATATCAAGTACGAGGATTAGCAAACAATAAATTATGAGTTATGCTGCATTTCATATATATAATTCAGATTCTTGAATAGATGGCTAAGATTATGCCGAATTTATGGATTTGCTGTTGATTTTGTGTTTTGACTAACTCAATATGATTGGTTTTCCATAGCTAAGATTTGATGAATTTGTGGGTTACTACTGCCATTTTACAAAAGTAGGTAAGTTTTTAAAATATTTTTTATCGAACCCAAAATGAACTTTAATATATCTGAATTAAAAAAAGTAATTGAAGCAAACCAATATGCAAAGAAATTAGTTGGAAATTGGCTACCAGATGATTACTCCACCACTGTTGATGAAGATATATTAAATATTTCATTCAAACCGGATATTTTTCAAAAACAATCTTTCTATTTTTTACAGAAACATGAATCTGTCTTTGTCTCAGCTCATACAAGCTCTGGAAAAACACTAGTAGCCGAATATGCAATACACTTGGCCCTGAAGCGAGGCAATCGTGTAATTTACACTTCCCCAATAAAGGCTCTTTCAAATCAAAAATTCTTTGACTTTAAAAGTAGATTTGAAAATGTAGGGTTAATAACTGGAGATGTCCAAGTAAACCCTGAAGCAAACTGTCTAATTATGACCACTGAAATTCTAAGGAATATGGTTTATAGGAACTCAGACCTATTAAGAACTACAGAATTCGTCATTTTTGATGAAGTTCATTATATTAATGATTGTGATCGTGGAGTAGTTTGGGAGGAATCGATAATTATGCTACCAAAGCATATTTGTCTTGTGATGTTGAGTGCCACAATTCCAAATTCTATGGAATTCAGCGAATGGGTTGGGCGCACTAAAGAAAGATGTATATATGTTATTTCTACGGAAAAACGGGCAGTTCCATTAGAATTTGTAATTTACAGTGATTTTGAAGCATATTCCATTGCAGGAACCAAATTAGAGGCAGAACCAACTAATTTTAAAAATTGTCTGCTTCCATATTCAAAAAAGATCAAACCAGGAGGGCGATTTAGGATTAATGACCTGGGCCATTTTGTAACCAATCGTAGGTTGATACCAGCAATATTTTTTTCATTTTCGAAAAAACTGTGTGAAGAGTATGGAAGGAGCTTGGAAACTTTAGATTTGACCAACCCCATGGAGAAAAAGAAGATCGATCAATTTTTGGTTAAGGCTATGTGCAATTTAACTGATGCTGACAGATACCTCCCACAGGTATGCAGAATGTCAGAACAAGTGAGAAAAGGAATTGCAGTACATCATGGTTCGTTGTTGCCTTTTGTCAAGGAATGTATAGAAATTCTTTTCTCACAAAATTTAGTTAAAATTCTTATTGCTACTGAAACATTTGCAATGGGTGTTAATATGCCTGCTAAATGCTGTGTATTTTTATCTTTAACAAAAATTGATAATTCCCATTATCGATATTTGGAAACTGGGGAATTCATTCAAATGAGTGGGAGGGCGGGAAGAAGAGGTATGGATAAAGTCGGAACAGTTATTATCGCAGATCAGCGCAATCCTCCTCTGACCACCATCAAGAAAGTGATAGATGGACATCCACTTAATTTGAGCTCTCAATTTAAGTTAAGTTTTTCGCTGATCCTGATGGCTCTTCGAGGAAATATTACTGTAGAGGATCTTATGAGAAGTAGTTTCAAAGAACATGAGGTACAAAAAGGGTTTTCAACAGATATGATCAGGTTGAGTAGCCTAGAGACTTCTCAAAAACTCCAGTGCTCCAACTGTGAGGATGGTTCAGATTTTTTAAAATACTTTCAACAAATATGCAATGACAATTACACTCTCATTAGATTGTTTTTGAAGGAAGGTGATACAGTTATCACAAAAGACAATAACCTGTGTATAGTTAAAACCATTATAGGAAACAGAATAACATGCATGCAATCTGAAGCATGTCTTAAAGGTATATTTTTTAGTATTAAAAACGAAATTCTAGATTTTGATCAATTTATTGATCAGAGATTCGGGGAATTCAAGGCGATTACCGTTCGTAAAAACATTGGAAAATTTTCCAAATATTGTCCACAGATATTTTCAGAAACTATTAGGTCCGAAATTACCTTTGAGGATATTATATTCTATGTCGAAAATGATCAAATTTCATTTAATTACAACGTCAAATCTATTGACTCAGTTTTAAAGAGCAGAGCTTTAAAGCAATTCTTTGAAAAATTAAATACATTTTCCTGTATTCATAGTGATTGCTTTTCCAAGCATTATTATGATAGAATTGTTGAGTACACCATTAATAATGAGATCAGTTTTATTAAAAACAAATATTCAGAAAAAAGTTTGGTTCAGATGGAAGAATACACAGCTAGAACTAAGTTTCTGGTCGAGAAAGGATTTGTTGTAGATGGAACAGTTACGATTAAAGGACGGGTGGCAGCAGAAATTAGAACGGTTAATGATGTTTTCGTAACAGAATTGGTATTTGGAAATTTTTTTGAAGATTTAACTTTTCCAGAAACTCTTGCTTTGATGAGCTCCATGATATATGAAGAGGATACTGATGGCCAAGACTTAAATGAAGAGTTTATTTCAAGATTTGATGAAATCAAACAAGCATATACAGAGCTTCAAACTGACATCGACAAATTAAGCATACCATGCTTCCAATCATTAAATTTTGGAATGGCCCAAGCTGTTTATGATTGGGCAAATGGGATTGGTCTTGGTCCAATAGTTGCAAAGCATTCGATTCAGGAAGGATCATTTGTCAGATTGATCTTGAGACTTGATGAGTGTTGTAGAGAAATGGTAAATGTGGCCATTCTTATAGGAAATGCAGATCTTGAAAGGAAATTTAGTGAAAGTAGTTCGATGATCAAAAGAGATATTGTTTTCATGCCAAGTTTATATCTTTGATAATACAGTCTTACTGCTAAACACACTATTAAATTAGTTAATTAATTATTTATTCCTCTACCAGTCCCAACTCTTGCAGTGTTTTCTGTAAGAATGATGTGAATTCCACACGTAGAACAAATTTCTTGGCCTTATTTTTGTATCCTTTACACTTCAAAACCAATGAACAGTTAAGTTTATCAATTTTAGTATCACCAGAACTCTTGCTAATCAACTGGAAATTGTCGTGGTAATCAAATATTTTCTTAATTAGGAAGTTGTGAATTTTTTGCTTCAACTCAACCAGTTCGAGTGGATTGACGGAAGAGGGAAGCGTAAAAGAAAACACTAATATTTTTTCCGGAGCCTTTGTCATATTAATAATTGTTTGTTTCCATAGATCACTATTCAAATATTTGATTCTTCCACCATGAACATTAATAAAAGAAGTAGATGAAAGTCCAACCTTGAATACCCTAAGATCCTGGCTATCCACTATTACATCATCTCCTATATCAAACTGATGGCTCAAAAGCATTACGACATTTCTATAAGTTTCAGCTAAGAGACCACTTGCAACAAAATTAAATGCTAAAGCTAAAGATAGAACTACAGCTACTAAATCCTTCAAGGAAACACCAAATAAAAGAAGATAAACTACTGATAAAAACAAGGCTGCAAGTACTGAAATTATTCTCTTAATAATTAGAACAAATTCTTTTGTAGATTTAATTGCTTGTTCTAAAACTTCCCTATCTCTGAAGAAATACACAGTGGTATCTCTGAATTCTTTTTTAGAAATGAATCTGTCTTGATCAGAATCAAAGTATGCAAAAGCACCAAGAGCCTGTTTTGTATTTGAAAACATTCTGGCAAATTGTTCAAAGCTTAATTCCTTGTCGCCATCTGATACCTTTTCAAAGCATTCCTTTGCTAATTGTAAGCAAGCTTTAATATTCTGCAAAGTAGGTGGCTTGATAGTCACAGTACCAAATTGTCTATTATTTTCTAAATCTTCATTTTCAGGCTCTGCCTCATTATATCCAAAGAAATCAATGCATATTATATCATTGCATCCCATGGTAGATTGAGAGCTTGAAGAGTCATCTATAGAACCGTATCTAAACCTATGCATGTGTCTTAGAATCTTCTCTGTCTTTTCAGTTTCTCGAATTTTAGCTTTCAGGGACTTTTTAATGAAAAAATCTTCAAAGTTAATCATTAGCCATGAGACGAGAATACAGACAGAAGTTGTGATGATTCCTGCTTTCAACAAGATTTTGAAGGTTTTATAAAAATACAAGGCCTCTTTCTGAACAATCTTCGATTTTGCAAATGCGATTAAAAGCCAGAAAAGTATCACACTCAGCTGCCCAATAGATTTGTACTTTTCTAAAGCATTGTCTAATTTCGCAACTATTAGAGCATAGTTGATCATGGTAAAAATCAGTGCCAATAATAAAAATAATCCGAAATATACTATAATTATGTTCAGAATATCATTCAGATTTGCTTGTTTGATTATAAAGCTATTATTACTAGAAATATATCTCCAAATCCTTACAACTAAAGCAACACAGAATATGGTTCGTATAATTCCTAGAATTGTAAGAAATGTTGATTCTGTAGAGGATTTATGAACATCAGTTGTTTTTAGATTATCTGAATCGATTTCTATTTCATGATTATTCCAATCAAAATTCTCATTGCATATTTTACCTTGTTGTAATTTCTTAATATCTCTATCGGCCATTGAAGATCAGCGGATCTTTGGTTTTATAAACACTTCAAACATGTTTTAATTGTGGCCAATCAAATATCTCTGATTTACAGTTAGTTAAAACAGAGAGAGAATTAGTACCTTATTTCAGGAAGAAATAAGTCTATTGGTTATACAAATAGAGGCTGGATCAACCTGCAAGAACAGAATACGTTGATTCGATGAATTTATATATAAAGCAAGGCTTAAGGATTTATTTATTAGATATTTTATCTATCATTTGAATACATGTTTGACATTCTAAAACCACAATTTGCTCGTCTTCATTTTTTAATTTCAATACTAGATTGATGTCTTGAGTATCCTCATTCATCTTTAAATGCTCTGTCATTATCTTTTTATTTACCTGAATATCAACCATATTAAGCGTAGGAATCTTAACAAGAACTCCATTAGGTGGAGTAAATACATTTATATTGGAATCGTCACGAATAATTTTCTTCAAAGCATTCATTCTGCTTTTGTCTCCATGAACTAGCATAATATTTTTTGGCTTACATTGATCAATAATTTTTAATATCCCAAAACTATCAGCATGAGCACTGAATGAAATGTTGTGAATGCTCAGATTTATTTCAACAGTATCCCCTAAAATATCTAATTTGTTGATTCCATTAAGAATTTTTTCGCCAACAGTCCCTGGTATACAATATCCAGCCAAAATTACGGCATTTTTAGGATCAGAACATATACTCTTAAAAAGTTTCAGGGACATTCCTGAATGGAGCATGGATGGTGTAGCAAAGAATACACCAGACTCATTTGGGGATATCGTCTTTTTGTTGTAAGATTTGGTGTACTTAAAGTCAAACACATTTCTTTCATGAATTTTGTTCTGCACAGTTTGATTTGTATAATTTATAAATCGTTTATAAATTTCGTTTGCCTTTTCAACCATACCACCAGCAAAATATATTGGAGTTGTCAATCTCATTCGCTCCCAATAAGATTCTATCATCATACAAATCTCTTGAAATCTACCAAATGTAAATATTGGAATCAACACTTGACCACCACGATCAATAACCTGTTGGATGATCTGTAAAAATTCCCTCTCCTTTGCTTTCCTACAATCCCTTATAACACTGCCATATGTGGATTCAGTGATTAACAAATCTGGATGCACACAATCAATCCAAGCGGATCCCAAATGCTTGTCCGCTGCTGTACTAAAGTCTCCAGTATATACCACACTCTTACCTTTGTATTTAACATAGTACATTGCAGCTCCTATTACATGCCCCGCATAATACGGGGTGATTTCTAAACCACTTTCTTGTATAAATGTCTCATTCATATGTAATGGAATGATTTTTTCCATACACTGATCAATTTGTTCGGATGTAAATATTTTGTTGTCCTTGTTTTTCATACTAAGAATTTTTCGATAATCTTCTAGTACAATTGGTAGAGTTGCTTTCGTAGGATGTGTCATATAGATAGGGCCTGAATATCCACAAACCTCTGTAAAATACGGTAAAGCACCACAATGATCCAAATGAAAATGGGAAATGATTATACAGTCAATAATTGTATCAAAATTCCCTGTTTTACTCAAATACGTAAAATCTGGAAACTTTCTAGAATCATTGTATCCGATATGCATTCCACAATCGAACATGATGGTTTTGTCGTTAATTGTGACGATTATACATGATTTCCCAACTTCCTGGCCTGCTCCAAGGGGGATAACATCCATTAAAGGCTGGATAAAATTCATTTAAAGGATTCAATTTTGAAAACAGCTTAGATAGTATTTGGCAGTAATGCATTTATGATTGAGAAATAGTTTTACATTTCAAATGGGGAGTTAATCTAGGATAGAAATACTTTGTTCAAGCCATTTTATCTTCCCCTAAATGTCGAAAATTTTGTTTCCTGGTTCAGACATCTGTGACAATGAGGGATTCATCCGGGGCCACGGAACAAGCATTGAAAATGGACGAATAAAATCTGCATATTATGGAACATTAAAACAAATTAATAAGCTTCTAACTGTTGATCCTATTTATTTTTATAAATACTCACCAGAAATTGGAGATGTTATAATTGGTAGAGTTACTGAAATTTACAACAAAAAGTGGAAAATAGATGCAAATAGTAAGTGTGAAACGTCTCTAAATCTTAGTGCTATCAATCTGCCTGGTGTTGTTCAGAGAAGAAAGTTGGAAAGTGATGAAATGGAAATGCGAAAAATTTTTGCAATAGATGATTTAATAGTGTGTGAAGTTCAGAAGGTTTCCAAAGGAGGTAATGGGGCTTTACACACGAGAAGTGATAAATATGGAAAGCTAACTGGTGGATTTTTAATAAAAATCCCTATGATGTATATTGCAACCCCTAAAACAAGATTTATGATTCGAAAGAACACAAATATGATAGTAGCAGCAAATGGACATATTTGGATTTCGAACACGGTCGATTTGACAATTGTCCCCAGGATAAATGCTGAAGTTACTAGGCTCATCCGTAGCAAATTGAAAGTAAATATTGAAGAAATAGTTGATAAAATTTATTTAGAAACTCAATAAATTGGTTTTAAAGAATCCTAGTGATGAAAAGCACAGAATTCTGGATATACCTTTTCTCAGAAATTGTAATTGATCAATACCTTCTATATTTCGGTTAAATGTTTTTATACCCTAATGATTAAAGTCTCTATGCTGCAAAAGGGTAATGCTTTACTTTCAGAACTTAAAAATACTTCCTGGCATTATGATGCATCAATTACTGCAGATTACGAGATAAACTTTACTACAGCAGTTTTATTTTTGAGTCTTCGATTCTACGTTAGTAAACCAGAATACATATTTAAAAGACTTAATAAGCTTAAAGATTACAGACTAAAAATACTTTTGATTCACGTAGATGTTCCAAATTGGAACAGCTCTTTGAAAGAACTATTCCGAATGATTCCTATCACGATTGTCCTTGCTAAGGATTACCCTGAATGTGCAAATTATATTCACGGATTTGAATCTGCAACAACAATATCTAGCGATGTTTTAAGACATAAAGAATCAAGTCTAGATACATTTCTGTCTGATTTCCCCAAAATCACAAAAACAGAAATTTTAAGACTTAAAAACAGCTTTAAGAATCTTCAAGAATTAATTAACACTGATTCGAAAGAAATAGGCCGAATATTCGGAATTGGGAATCAAAAGGCGGAATCCTTGGCTAAATATTTCAATAAACCCTTTCAAAGCTAAGCTGCTCTATGGAGATACTGACTTAATAAGTTGTTTTGAACCAATAAAACTGGTGGTTATTATATATGTTCTTTAATTGCTCAAATGATCATAAGCTTGGGTTGATTTCCTACCTTTTCTAATAACAATATGAACAAAAGAATAATTACCTGAAATCCATACCTTCTCCAATAACAATATGAACAAAAGAATTAATTACCTGAAAACAGAAGGTTAAAATTCTATCTTATAAAATTCAAGAACTTCGTATAGCTATTTAAAGAAAACTTTTCATGGCTTTTGTATCTGATTGAAAAATATTTTTAATAATTTTTTAAAAATATTTTCCCCATGTCGAAAAATCCGTATCAAAAGTACATTCAATTTATTGGCGATATGGATTTTCTCAAAGAGTTTGTACCGGGTATTGTAGATGACGATTCGCATTCAGATCAGGTGGAGTCATATATGTTTGCATCCTCACCAAAATATGTTAAAGTTGCACTAAGAGATTATCAGATTGAGGGTCTTAATTGGTTAATTAAGATGCACGAAAACAATATAAACTGCATTTTGGCAGATGAAATGGGGTTAGGCAAGACCCTGCAAAGTATTTCTCTTTTAGGATATATTAAGCATATTAAAGACGAAAAATCAAAGCATTTGATAGTTGTGCCCAAGTCTTGCTTGCAAAATTGGATGAACGAATTGAATAGATTTGTGCCGAGCTTAAAGGTAAAAATGTTTTGGTGCTCTAAAGATGAAATCAAGGAAGAATACAAAAATATCGCGTTTAAGAAGTATGATGTTATCTTAACAACATATGAGATGTGCTTAAATGCCAAAAACTATCTTAAGAAAATTCATTTTTCGTATCTTATTATTGATGAAGCTCATCGTCTCAAAAATGAAAACAGCTTACTAAGCCAAATTTTAAGGGTTTGCCAGTTTGACCATCGTTTACTTCTTACAGGTACCCCATTGCAAAATAATATTCATGAACTGTGGGCTCTTCTCAATTTTATTCTCCCCGATATTTTTCGTGAATCCGAAAAATTTGAAAACTTTATTATTGATGCAGATCAAAAAGAAAATGGTAAAAAAATCGATAAATTAAAAGAAGTACTTCAACTATTCTTTTTAAGAAGAGAGAAGGCAGATGTAGAAAAGTCTCTTCTTCCTAAAAAGTTTACCAATATCTATGCACCTATGACTCCATTACAAAGAAACTGGTATAAAGGACTTTTGAAAAGAGATCTAAAGGATCTATATAACGACAAAGCAGCTAATAAGACCGCTCTCTTAAATATAATCATGCAGTTGAGGAAATGCTGCAATCATCCATATTTATTTGATGGGGTAGAAGAGGAACCTTTCGAGTCTGGCGAGCATATTGTAGAAAATTCTGGAAAACTTATAATTCTAGACAAACTTCTATCCAATCTGTTCAAAAAGGGATCTAGAGTTTTGATATTTTCCCAAATGTCCAGAATGCTGGATATTTTAGAAGATTATATTAATCTAAGGGGATTGGAATACTGCAGAATTGATGGCTCAACCTCTGGAGAAGATAGAACCACTGCTATTGATGAGTTTAATTGCGATAAATCAGATAAGTTTGTTTTTTTACTTACAACCCGTGCAGGTGGTCTTGGAATCAATTTGTATACCGCCGATACTGTTGTCATATTTGATTCAGATTGGAATCCTTATGCTGATTTACAGGCTCAAGATAGAGCTCATAGAATTGGGCAGAGGAAACAGGTTCAGGTTTTCCGACTAATTACTGAAAACACAATTGAAGAAAGTGTAGTTCTAAGAGCCCAACAAAAATTAAAGCTTGATGATGTGTTGATGAAGTCAAATGAAAAAATCAAACAGAATAATATATCCAACGCTGAATTGATGCAAATTTTGGCTTCAGGAATTGATACGGTTGATAGGCAATCAGAAATAGATAGTCTGAGTCTTGAGGATCTTTTGAAGGTTGGGGAGGAGAAGACGAAGGAAATGAATAGAAAGATAGAAAGCTATAGAATTAGTGATGGTGAATCGGGAAAGATCAATATGTATCAATGGGAAGGCGAAAATTATTTGAAAAAGAAACTACAGGAGTTTGTTGCAGAAAATCCTGTCACAGAAGAAGAGCCAATCAAGAGAATATCTTTTTTTGCAAATACAAAATTCAAGCCACTTAATTTTCCAGAGTATCAATTCTACCCATTAGAATTTTTTACCTTGCAAGACAAAGAGGAAGAACTTTTCAACAGAGATGAGGCTCTTTCTCAAGAAGATAAGAAGCGAAAAGAAATCTTATTAAAGGAAGGATTTGATTGGACGAAGAAAGATTATAAATCGTTTTTGACTGCTCTGGAGAATTATGGTGAAAATTTGATGGAAATTGAAAAGGCCTTACCTATGAAAACAGATGTTGCCAGGTACTACAAAGTATTCTTTGAAAGATATCTAGAATTAACAGAATCCGAAAAAATAAGCAATATACTTGAAAGAGTGAAGATACGAAACGCAAAAAACTCTAAACTACGCAATATTTTTGAGAGCTTTTCAGATGTGGAATTGGAAAATTCTATTTGTATTAAAAATAAGCTTTACATGGATAATCTACATCTTTTAAAACTATACTCTCAGTACATGGAAGATCCACAATGTTTTGAAAAAATAAAACAGTCAATATTAGCTAATAAAGATTATATGTTTGATTATTACCTGATGTCACGTTCAACAACAGAATTGTCTAAGCATATTGCTGTGATAGTTGCACAACTTTTGAAAGCATTCGAAAGAAAACAATAAATTAGTCATATAGCCTCTCAGCACTTATGTAGGTGCATTCATAATTTATTGTTACATACAATGCAAGATTCATCCATTTCTATTTTTTGACTATTCAAATATATTTTTTCAGTAAAATTCCCAAAAATAAAGTCTTCTTCTGGTCTGTTGATTAGAATACTAACAGCAATAGAGGCACAGATTGAATTAATTGTACAGATATTAGGAATAATGTTATTGTATATTCCAAAAACTTCAAATTCTGTGGTTTTTAGAGAAGAATCTACTTTACTATTGAATTCATTCATGATTATCAAAATGGATTTGCTCAATTCCAAACCATTCATAACATGTGATTCAAGTATTTTGCTTCTATTTTCAAGTGTTATAGCTTGATCCAAAAAAGATCCAGAGCAGATGGTGGAGTATTGTGGGCTCTTATACAATGAGTGAATACAATATAAGCAAGAACTCTTCTGTGTAACAACTTTAACATGAAATTTCATTTCTTCAACACCCAAATCCAAAAGAAGAGAACATCTCGACATTTTAAAGCTATAGTTTATTTCCATTCTCGTAGATATATTGTCTACACATGAAAATATAATATCAAAACTATCTAAAATAGTTTCAGACAATTCTTGAAATTTTGAAGTTATAAATTTACAGCCAGTTTTATTGGAGATAACTTCTGCCTTGAATTTTCCACAGTCTTTGGAAGAAAAATAAAACTGTCTTGATAAATTGGATACTTCTACTCTATCACAATCAATACATGTAATATCATATTTTTTAAGTGATAATAGCTTGATTACCTCACTTCCAGTTCCACCACATCCTACAACCAAAATCCTCATTGAGTTCTCAATAAAGGGCATCATATTTAAAGTAAAAAATCTTTTATAATTCCCGATGCTCTATAAAATAATTAATTATCCTGTAAATATAATTTATTTCTATTTGAGTGAGTTCTAGTAGCATATATCGATATTGGCCAATTAAGTCAGAAAGTGTGGAATAATATAGATATAATAAAGTTATTTAATCAATTGCAGCATAAAATCTATAGTAATTTATAGAAATGACCTTTCATTGATTCTATGCCATACTCTACTCAACACTATTCCCATAATCACTTACTACAGTATTTTATGATTCACTCAATCAATTATACCTCCAAATATTTGCTCTGGAACTAATATCATTCACCACTTTAATAAGGTTAGCTTGTCCTAAATTAAGAATAAATCCTTGAATGGAATGACACAAATATATTGCTCTTTTAACTAACCAATGAGATTGTTATAATAATTTTATTTAATCGCACAGATATCAACAGGAATTTAGTCTTTTGGTATTCATATAAAGCTCCAGAATTTTTCTTGCAAGAAATAAAACATAGCCCATATGATCTGACTCCAGATTAAATCTTTTCCGAAAATTGCCGATTAATATATCGTCTGGAATACAAGATCCACTTTCATTATCGTTCAGTATTTCGGTTTCTTTTTTATATATCGTGCTACCACAAGATTTCATAGATTTTAGATCCTTTTTTTTGTCAATCTGTAATAAAGTTGTTGCTATCAAAATAGAGCTGTAGACAATTTCATACTGAGTAAAATATAAACACGCTGGTGTAAATGTAGTTATGTCATTGAGAATAATCCATGAATATTTGCTCGTTTTCATATCAAAATTATTGTCACTGCAAATATTCTTTAGCACCTTATGAACATCTGGAATTTCAAAATCAAAATCCATTGCTTTGCAAATATCTAACTCTGTAAGATTTACCGACTCGAGATATTTTCTAATGATTTCTGGATCTTCTATATTGATTTGCAATACTTTAGCCGAATACTTTAAAATATTTTCGGTATTTCTAGCTGTCTCAGCCATTTTGCATGTAATATTAATACAGGAAGTAAATAATACCAAATCGTCTGGTTCTATGTGGAGTGATTGCTTTGCGATAAAAAAGTTCATTAAAATGACGGTTATGATCTTTTGTGGGATACTTAGCATTTTACATATCTTCATAAGCCTCGAAATATTATGTCTGGACAGTTTTAAGGACAAATTGGTGAAATCTTTCATCTCCTCCACAAATCCCATGCGACAAGGGTGTCTCAAAAAACTGTTGGAAATTGTTTTTTTAATCGAAGAATAAACCAAAAACAATAGCAGATACTCAAAGAATTGATTTGTTGGAAAATTGATTGATTATGTTTTAATAGAAATAGCCTTTAAATCCTCTGAATTTTTATGGCATTTTGTAGTATAAGCAAACCTTTACAAAAAGTGATATAATATATTAATTTATGTCTCGAGGAACAATCATCTTGACTCCTTAATTGTGACTTCCCACTTCATTAAATATTCCTTGAAATAGCTACAGATTCTTTGGCAGGCTTTTTTCCCATCTTCCACCGCTTTAATTAACCATGAGTGATGGCATTTTCCATAATTTTCAAAATAAACTATTCTTTCGGAATTAACTAAGCTAGCAACAACTGCAGCAAATGATTTATTTTCTTCCGCCGAATACAAATCAATTCTTTCATTTAATCCAACAGCTATGCACATATCTCTAATTGGAATTCCACAATAGCACATCACAAGAGTTGTTGTATTTATTAGTGTCGGCAAAATCCCACCATCATCCTGAAGTACTAACAAAGTGATCTCATACATTGCTTCACCTAGAATAAGAGGTGTAAAGATACTTTCTAATTTATAAACCAGTTCATAAACTTTTCGTTCATTAATCTGCTCATTCTTGGATGTTTCTGAAAGTTTCAATTTTATTTTAAATTTGACTTTTTCACACGGCTGAACAGCGACAGCTTTGACTGTAGTGTTTCCATGTGATAGTGTAATAGTACCATTTCCATTTTCGTATCCATGAGAAATGAAAATATTTCTGAGTTCTTTTGGAAATCTTCCATCGGTTCGAATATATTGGATGTCCATAATCATGGGCAAAAAAGACCGGAAAAGCATTCAGGAAATGATAGCATGCAATCAAATCACAGTTAAATGCTCTACTCAATGAATATACTTTGGTAGCCAAAAAAGAGTTGTCCATCCGAACTGTTACAAAATAATATGTAAAAGCCGATATCGGGAGTCTTTGAGTGTTTTATAACATATTTCTTTTTAAAACGAGTCTCATCTACTTTTCAAATTTTTATTATCAAATAGTTTCATATACTTTTAGAGGATCATCAACTGGGGGATATAAAGGCCAGTAATATGTATTGTATGTTTTATCAAAATCTATTCCATCCCTATCTGGTCTCCACAAGAAAAGATATTTCGCGGGGCCAAAAATACTAACAATATTTGAATAAAGCCCTAAATCATAAGGGGAAGGGCCTATACGGATTTTTCTGTACTTTGAATTATGCCTTTGAATCTGTTCAATACTTGTAATATTTTCTTTCACCAATCTCATCTGCGACATCAAGTGATATCCTGTAATGATTGAAGCAAATGCAGCGATTAGGGTTAAGAAGCAAATTCCTGTACAGTATTTATATGTAAGAATTTGTTTCGTATTATTAATTGATTTATAAATGTGATGAATATTAAAAAGCAGCAGATTCAAATGCCCTAGAAATGTGAAGAATAAAAATCGTATAAAATGCCCATGGTTCCTAAAATGCACACATGTTCCCAAAATAACACAATGATGATCCATTTTCATTATGCACTTCCTACATATTTTACAATGATGGGATCTTTCCGGCTTTGTTTGCTCACATAAATGGCATCGTCTAATAAATTCCTCGGGAATATTAAAATCCATATCGTTAGTATTCGCAACAAACCCCTTTGTGAAAATAGTCAAAATTGCATATGAAATAGCAAAAAACATTGAAGTCATCAGAACAATTTCTGTAAAACGAGAAAATACACTATTGATGTTTTTTAAATATATGGAAGTCGGTACAAATGCCAAGAAAATCAAATCACTGAAAAGAATTACTCTGGCAAATAATTCCAGTGGATTGTTCATAAAGGGATAAAAATTATTTATTTATTTTGAGTCAAAATAGATTTAAAAACATAAGAACATTCGTAACATGTGATTGGGAATATTTAATAATGGTTTCAATTACTTTACACTAATTGCCAGAATAATAAAATTAATGTGATTTTGGTTAAATTCTATTCAATAGTTTTTCTGGCAAACAGTTGTGAATAACATCGATAAGATCTTCATTTTCAAATGCTGCCATCACTCGATCATTATCGCCAAGCTGTTTATTATACATCGAGTAGTTTGAATGGGAAAACTCCTTCACAGATACTTTTAACCAATATCCAGCTATAAATTTGGACAAAACATATTTTATGGTCAATCCAATGACACCTGCTAAACTACAGTGTGGAACTGTTGGGGTGAAAATCACTTCCATGTATTTAATAGGATATCCAATGGAACAAAGTATCGATTCATCTTTTACATATTCTCCAATAGAGATATCCTCTAGATTAACTACATTAAGCTGTTCAAGTGAATATGGATGCTCCGGATCTTTAATGTCTCTAATTAGTTCAAAAACTGTGGAGCTGGAGATATTTACTACTCTGTTTTCAACAAAATTCAATTCGACTCTTTTTTGTAAACTGTTTTTTATTTGAGGATTTTCATTATTCATAGAAATTTTTAAGGGTATTTAAGTGATTTTTTGAATATGATTAAAGTATGTAAGATTGCTTTTTACGTGCAGAACAATTAGATCCTCCAGAAATACCATCATAAAACTCTTTTGAAACATCCAATATCCAGATGACATATATCTGATGGCTTTCGAACTTCTTAGAATAAAAACAATTGCTTCAATCATCATAAATCAAATAATAATTTTATCCAAACTCCTTTGATGAATACGGAATTATTTATTTCTGCTATACAATTTCCCATCCTTAAGTGACGAATGAGTACTTAGATTCAGCTGGCTCATCATAATTTCATCACTCGATTTCAGTAAAGATTTTATTTTATTAGCATATAGCCGACCTTCGCCAATAATTGCATTCAGCTCTGACTGGTTAAACTGTGAAATGATGTTCAAGCAGAAAAGAACTGTCTTAGTCAAATTCATGGAATCAAAACAGAAAACGATTTTATTTATAAGGTTTCAAAAAATAAACAAAATAGATCATATGATCAAGGAATATAATATGAGATTAGATTATTCCAAAACAGAATTATCAAAGCTAAACATACGTTCAAGAAGTTTAATAAGTCAATGCAGCCCCCTTAACCTTCTTTTCGTTAGATATAATTGTTTGTTTGGCTCTTTTAAGCACTTTCAATGTCATACCATTACACTTCGAGCATTTAAGTTTAAGAACTGGCTTTTTAGTATTTTTTGCTTTTCTTCTAAGAATAGGTTTGGTCTGTCCACCAAAACCAGCCTGTTTAATGGCATATCTTCTATTACCCTGTCTTTGAGGATTATCCTTTCCTTTTTTGTAAATAGCCACTTTGCTTGCCATATGGGAATTGCATTTCTTGCAGAAATGTTTTTTCTCTTTTGGAACATTTACCATTTGGGCCAAAATTTTTATAAAAATTTTTAAAATTTCAAAATGAATAAAACTATTAGATCAATGCTTTAAACATTAAGTTACCCACTTTTCTACAACAAGGCTATTAAACGAATAGATGTTCTCAAAAGACAACGATCATCTTAGGTTTATTTTGTTACTTTCCTAAACAATTCACATATCCAGTTTGATGCTTTCGATCTTATATTGTTCATGTACAGCAGTAAATACTTTAAATGAATGGCCAGAATCTTGAATTATCAAAACTGCAGCTTTATTCCTTGATTTATAAATGTAATTTGGTGCTCCCCAAATGGTTATACATTTTCCATCAAAATCTTCCTTAAATCCTTCACTAACCAACTGATGGCTTCTTATCAGGTATTCACAGCCAGAAACATCTAAAAAATCACAGAGTGCTTTCTTACCAAATAGAAATCCAGCACCTCTGGTACTCTTTGAAAAATATTCGATATTTTCTGATGGATCACTCCACAATGCATCAGTAATCCCAGAGTATTCTTGCATACGATTAGTATTGTTAAGCTCTTCAACTGTTAGCTCTGGAATAATTCCACCATGAATACAGAAGTATTTATTATTTACTCGAACGGCTATTGGAAGTAAATTAAATATGTCACAGATTTTCAGGTAGACGTATAGATCGTATTTTATAAGAACCTCTATCTTAAACCCATATACTTCCGTCTGAGCTCGTGATTCATGATTTCCACGCAGTAAAATAAAGTCTCTGCCATCCTTAGAATTAGTACCATGGTCATTTCTAGTGTGCAAAGCTATTAGCTTCATTATAAAACATAGTATTAAAACCTCTATGGAATTATATCCTCTGTCGACATAATCTCCAAGAAATACCATATTATAACCTGAATCTAGACCATCTAGTATTGAAACTAAGTCATAAAATTGGCCATGAATATCACCGATCACATTTGTAGGACCGAAAATATCTATCATGGTACATTCCATGGATAAAACATACGCTATATCATCTAAAATTTGGAGAACTATAGATTTATCAGGTAATTTGGAATTCCTTAACTCTTTTAAAATATTTTCCAGTATTGATGTTTCAAGCATTTTCAACTGCGAAAATGGATTTTTTTAAATATTTTTCTGAAATTTATTTCTAACATAGAAATTAATAAATATACTGCTATGCTTGCTTCCAACAACACATATATCTATATCATCTAATAAATAAATCAAAATCAGCTCTTGTAAGACTCAATTTTGGCTACACAGAGTATTAATAACATATTTAATAGAAAGAGTATTTTGTTTTAAGTTATTTAATATAGTTTGAAATGGTCAAAATTCATAAAGCCTTTGGCTGACAGTTATTTATTCAGATGAATATCACAATCAGCAGGAATCAATTCATGGACGATAGTTTGCTTTGTATAGAACAATTGGCTCAAAAAATATATAATTAACCATCTATATGAATGCAATGCTTATTAAAAACCCTTCCACTATTCGAACAAACTCTATTTGAGAGCATTCATCTGATAAACAATGATCTGCACTTTTCAATAAATGAAGATCTCCAATCAATCTCAATTTATCTTCTATACTTCTCCGGCAAAATTCATCATTTTCAGAAACTACAGATAGAATTGGACATAGCTTACTAAAAGCAGCATATGATTCATTTGACAAATAGCTGCTGAATACATCTTCTTTCCCAAATCTTTTATACAGACTCAGGAACCTTTCCGATAAAAATATCCTATTTTGATATTCCACATATTTGTCTTGTTCTGCAATGTTTACAAACGTCAATAATGATGAGTCAAAAATTTCTTGTGATTCTACATCGCTCACTGGTGCTTGAAGTACTATGCCAGCCAAGGAAATAGCTGGGTTTTGCTTCAAAAACAAAAGAGCATCCTGACATCCAGTGGAATGACCTATTAATACAGCTTTAGAATATTCTATACCATTTAATAAATCTCTTATATTTTCAATATCAGAATCTATAGGATAGATTGAATAATTTGGCATTGATTCCAGCTGTGGAATAATAAGTTTAATGTTGTATTTCTCACAGAGTTTCAACAATTTACTGGAATATCCCACTGACAACAAGTTACTTCCAAGTCCCCCTAACAATACAATTATTTTACTGGAATTAACTTTATTTGTAAATGCAACCGAACCCTTCGAGTTATATTTGAAAAGAATACCTTCCATTGAGGGTTTAAAAATTTTATATAGATAATAAGGTCATGTTGAAAGAATTAAAATTAGTAAAGGCATTCTTTATTAAAATCCATGAGTATTCGAATTAAGAGCCTTCATTTACTATAAGCGCAGATTTTAAGTAATTTTCATTTCATTGGAATTTTTTTAACCCTAAATGATTTTTGAGATTGGTGAAATTCCAATTTATTTTCCGTACGAAACAATTTATCCAGAGCAATTAAATTATATCAAATCTCTATTATCATCTATTCAATCGCCCGGACACATTTTAATAGAAATGCCTTCTGGTACAGGGAAGACAATTGCACTGTTGAGCTGCACTGTCTCCTACAGTATTTATTGCCAAAAAGCTGGAAAGCCTTATAAAATAGTATATTGTTCACGAACAATTCCAGAAATCGATAAAGCTCTGAAGGAATTAAAAAACCTAATAACATTTGTTAGAAAGTACATTGAGTTCAAATTTTTAGGATTTGGCTTGTCTAGACGAGCAAATATGTGCATAAATGAGTATGCTCTGAAAAACAATGTAGAACTAACTTGTAGAAGATTAATAAGCAGATTAGACGGATTGAAATGTGATTTTTATGAAAATAATGAGTTTCAGTTGCAAGAAGGTGTCTATGATTTTGAAGATTTGAAGGTTCTTGGTAGGGAAAATGGGATATGCCCATACTTTTTGGCAAGAAGGTTTATTCCAGAATGTAACTGTATAATATATCCGTATAACTATTTGATTGATCCTGTTATCTATTCCATCATTTCAGAAAATATACCTCGTGAATCGTTTATCATTTTTGATGAGGCTCATAATATTGATTCGCACTGTATTGAAGCATTGAGCTTGGAAATTAATAGAAATACTTTAGAATCTGCTGGAAGGATATTAAAATCAATAGAATCTAAAGTTACAGTCAAAAAAAGTGAAGCAGCCGATACAGTGGCAAAGGAATACAACAAAATTCAGGAATATACAGTATCGGATCAAAACATTAGTGATTCTAGCAAAAATCTTTTGCAGACAAGAAATCGAAAAATGGATAAAAAGTTAAAAGATTCCAAAATGGATTTTGGTTTTGAAGAATCAATTCCATACAACTTCTCTAAAAACTTTAGTCAACCATCGGTTTCTACACCACATTTTTATAATTTAGAAGAGTCAAAATATGAGTTTACACCAGGAAATCTGAGAAATAGCAACCATTTCATAAGCGTGATGAAAAGACTGATTGAGTTTCTCAAAACAAAGTTAAAGACAACCCATCTTACCAGTGAAACAATTAAATCTTTTACAGAAAGTATTCTTGAGATTACATTTATCAACAAAAAGACATTGCAGTTTTGTTCTCAACGATTAAATATATTGATCAATACTTTACAAATTGATGATGATGAAGTCGGAAAAATAAAAATAGTTGCCAAGTTTGCAACAATGCTTTCTATATACTCGAAAGGATTTGCGATTATTTTTGAGCCCTATGATTCCATGGCCGATGTGTTTAATCCTATCTTGAGATTATACTGCATGGATGCCTCGGTTGCAATGAAACATGTTTTTAATAAATTTAGAAATGTGATAATTACAAGTGGAACACTCAGCCCCATTGACATGTATCCACAGATCCTCGATTTTACGCCCTCTAGTGTTGTTGAAATTGGAGCTACCTTAAATAGAAACTCAATAAGTCCATTAATAATCACCAAGGGAGATGATCAGATGCTATTATCTAATAACGAATTCAAAGAAGATCTAATACCTTTGGAGAAACATGAGTTGTATGAAACAGATAGTACAAAACTGACAACATCCTTTAAATTTAGAGTAGATTCCTCTGTTGTAAGAAATTATGGCTCTTTACTAATTAATTTAGCAAGAATAGTTCCGGATAACGTTGTTGTATTCTTTCCATCTTATATTTATATGGAGGAAATTATAACACTTTGGAGCGAATCAAATATCATCAATGATATTTTAAAATACAAACTATTATTTCTAGAAACACCAGACTTTAACGAAACTGAACTGGCACTGAAAAATTACAGAAAGGCGTGTGAGAATGGCAGAGGAGCTATATTAATATCGGTAGCAAGAGGAAAGGTATCTGAGGGTGTGGATTTTGAGGATGGATATGGTAGAGCCGTGGTTGTACTTGGAATTCCATTTATGTATACTGAGAGTATCCGACTAAAAGAAAGATTGCGATATTTGAAATCGGAATATAACATCAAAGAATACGATTTTTTAATATTTGATGCGATGAGACACACTGCACAGTGTCTTGGGCGTGTACTAAGAAAGAAAACAGATTATGGATTGATGATTATGGCAGATTATAGATTTGGAATGGAAGGAAAGATAACAAAAATGCCAAAATGGATCCAGGATAGAATAGAGCGTGGGAATACAGGTTTAAGTATAGACATGGGCATGCATATAGCAAGACAATTTTTCAAAGAAATGGGTCAACCTTTTACAAATGATGGAATATCCCAGTTGGATGAAATCTCCGCCAAGTCGTATTTAAAACATATATAATTAATGAATAGCCACAGCAGTGTCTAATTAGAAAAGCTATTACCACTCCTTTATCTAACACTGACTATTATAAGTTATTAATCATCTAGGTGGCTATATACTAACATTGTATAATTCTTACAAAACAGTATCTATAAATATTATTTTCATGGGATAATACTTTATTCTACTCCTTATATCAAGAATAGGTTTCCCATCGAATAAACTATATTAAGTTTCTTCCGAGCATATACTCGAACTATTTATTTTTACTAACCAATGCATTCTCATTGCTTTTTTGAATATTTTTATTTATTTTTTATAATTATTGTCCATGAATAGAATTAGAAGTTTCCTCAGAGACATTTTTTGTTTAAAAAATACCACACAAGTAGAGTTTATTACAGATGAAAAAAATAGATCACTTAATTCAGTGATTATTGAAGTAAACGATACAATCAAATCTCCACAACCTCTTCTTCCAATTGATTTTGATAAAGGGTCTATTAGAGTACGAGAATTAACGTATCAATTTGTAAAATTACCAGATAATTTACTTTGCGTTCAGGATTTTAGGAAAATAGACTATTTTGATTTTGACTTTATTTCAGAATATGAAACCTATTGGAATAATGAAAATACTAATCAGAATACCATTTTGCAAACTTCAAATATTAATGAACACATTTTGAATAGCAATGACCTAGCTGGTGAACATCATTGTATAGAATTTAATTCAGCTGTAAGTATACTTCCACCCCAAGCAAGTAGGAAACCTACTCTTGTATTGGATTTGGATCATACTCTTGTCTACCCATCAATGAAAGAACAGGTAGAATATGATTTCTCGGTTACTTTGGATTCCATTAAAGATTATACTATTTATTTTGTAAAAAGACCAGGCCTCGAAGAATTTCTACTAACTATGCGAAAATATTATGAGATGATTGTTTTTACTGCAGGAATAATGCCATATGGAACTAAGGTAACAAAAAAAATAGATAAGCATGAAACTATAGATTATCTTCTGAGTAGAAAATATTGTCGTGCATTAACCCGAACAGGAGAACGTCGAGATGCGTTTACAAAAGACTTGTCGATTCTGGGCAGAGATATTCATCAAATATTGATCGTAGATGATCGAGAGTATTCTTATATATTAAATGAAGAGAATGGCCAATATATTCCTCCTTTTTATGGGAATAAAAATGATACTGCTCTTTTTGAATTGCAGAAATATTTGGTTGATCTTTCCGACTCTAAAGACTTTAGAAACAGAAAGCCATTTGTATTCGAAAAAAATACTGATAAAAAATAATATAAATTGTGAATAGGTATTGAAGATAATTCAATATACAGATTAAAACCCCCTTAATATAAAATAAAACACCAGGACTTTCTGATTTTAAATAATAAATACAATAATCCGTTGATACTTGCCATCCATGTTACAATATATCT